AGCAGGAAGCAGAGCAGAAGGGCTATGGAGAGGGTGCATGGTCTGTACCACCCTCAGGATGGAGGTCACCTTATGCACAATACCTCAGGGTATACAATGTAATACCTCAGGGTGTAGCAGTGTCCATATCTCTCTATGTTCCAGCCTGGAAGGTCTAGATGTGCGCCTGGGGTTTGATCTGTGTGTGGAGGAGCAGGATTTCCTGAGGAAAAGGAAGAAAGTGGTTGCTGAAGCACTGAAAAAGTTTCTTTATCTGGAACAGGATCTGCAAGAACATGAGGTATATTGCATGGGGGCTTGTGAGGTAGAATTCCCTGGTTAGGAGTGTGCTGAAATTAATAGGTAAGGTACCAGGAGATGATCTCCAAAAAACATGCAACATAGTCCTGGCTTTTGTAGGTCAGTAAAACTTGTTGTATCTGCTAAAATGGCTTCTTCTCTTCAGCTCTTTATGTTAACTCTTAATGTATGGAATAGGAGGGAGAGAAGCACATTTGATACTATCTCAATATATTGTTTATTTTAGTACACAATTGGCTACAATTTGTGAGATGTTTAATCACGTACACTGGATGTTTTACATCCTCTGCTGAAAAACATACTGTACCAATGTAATACTTTAGAAATCTTCCATTGGGGCAAGTGAACGTCTGATGGGCTAGGCTTTTCTCCATTAGGCAGGAACCTTAGTCATTAACAATAATGCTTATGTATTTAACAGGTTCCACTAATAGCTATTATGGCAACAGGTGGAGGCTATAGGGCAATGTCATCACTATATGGCCATCTTCTAGGTTTCCAGAAGATGAATTTGCTGGACTGTATTACATATCTTACTGGAACTTCTGGTTCAACATGGTAAAGACAAAGCCGGGGGGAGGTGGTATTCTGAATCATTGTTCAGTAGTTCTCAACCTTGTTAGATTCAAGGCACCACTCAGAAAATGTCATTTCTTAGCCTTCACTTGTTTCTTAACTACAGAAAAATAATGGAGCAATTCTTCTGTTGTAAAGAACTCAGACCACACCGGGTCAAAATGTTTTTGACTCGATGGATTCCTATTTGAAATCTCTGGGTTTATCTTGTGAATCGTGTGTATGTGCTTGTACACAGAACAGAGCTAATACTGTAAAGCATTCCACAGTGCCCTTAGAAGGATCTCATGGCACTCCAGGATGCTGTGGCAGCCTGGTTGAGAATCACTGCATATTTTTAGTATTTTGAGGCCCAAGGTCAGATTCAAGCTGGTTCCACGTACGCCAATGCTTAGCTGTTGGAATGCTTAAAGCTGAGGCACTTTGCTCAGGAGGGTCATTCAGTTTGACTGGGTTTGGGTGCCTACAACCTCCATACTATACAATGATTGTACTTAGGTGGCTCAGAGTGATTCAGAGCTGGGAGCCTATATAAACAATTGGCATCTCCAAAGGGAAGTTCAGAAAGCTCAAGCTCAGAAGTAGACAGTATCCCCCATAACCTTGTTATGCGATAAAGCTTGCCAAAAACTGGTGCCAATTTGAGAATGGTTGTGAAAGAGTAAACATTGCCCTCTGCCCGCTCCTGCTTGCTGGTGGGGAGAGAGAAGCTGGCAGTCATCTAATAGCCCAGTTTCTTTCTCATTTTTTTCTTCCATGCATCTACTCTGGCAAAGAAAATCAGAGAGCTCTTCCCCGCTTAAGACATGCCCCTCAATTTCAGAGAGCTAGTTTCAGGGGGAGGGGGAAACGAGTGTGGTATGTGAGGAAATATGGACATTGTCATATTTCATTATCCCTTTTAAAATGGCTAACAATTTAATTATAAAGAAATATGAAAAATTGAGTAGGCAGTTAAAGTGCCTCTATTTTTGACGTAGGTTCTAGTTATTAATCAAAGAGCCCTAGATATTAATTACAGATGCTGGAGTTGCACAATCTTTAACAGACAATTGTTCACTTAACATGTCTGTTTTCCCAGGGCTATCAGTAACTTGTATGAAGATGCTAATTGGTCACACAAGGATCTGGTGGGTCCAATCAGCAAAGCTCAAAAGCATATTACCAAAAGCAAGGCAAGCGTTTCTTCCTGTGAGAATCTGAAGCATTACATCAAGGAGCTGAGACAGAGGGCCCAAGAAGGACACCTCATTTCTTTCACAGATATGTGAGCTCTTGTACTTGAACATATGTTGCATGGTGAAGTACGTGCTTTGCAAATCACTCTCCTTTGTTACCAGATTTCTGTGAGGAGCCATTTCCTTATCCATCTTCCTAGAGATCTTCTTGACATCTGGGGCTGAGGATGAAAATAAATCTTAGGTGCTGAAATGGCTCAGTGGTTCCCAGGAGTTACTGTTGCAGTTTGCTGCTCAGCTGCATATGAGAAAGGAGATATAAATAAGCAGCCAGGTTGAGTTGGTTATTTTAGATAAGGAAGAGTCTAAAATAACTTTTCTTACTTGCTCCAAAATACCGCTTAAGTAGCCTCTATTGGAACGCCTGTGCTGCGAGATAGGCTTTGGACCGATTCTGTTTCCTGCCCCTATGTCCATGACATTTTGAATGTTCTGTCTAAGCCAGGGGAGTTTCCTGATCCTTCTGCAAGTCAAGCACTTTCTAAACCAGTGTGTAATGCCTGGGTTCAGCAGAGAAGCTGTAGGCAGCTTTCAGGAGCAGGTTAGACTTTATCATAAATAAACTAAGGGAGAGAGATAACTGGGAGACAGCTCTATTAAACAACAGTTTGCAGCCCCTGCTCAGCCAGTTTTCCACAACCCACATGGTTACTACAAGCCTCTTAAAGGACTACGATCTTTACATCTCCTTTTTTCTTATGAAAAATAATAAAAGACTATATCTGTTTACATTCATAACATTCCAGCCACAACAGCTCTCAGTTAATCTCTGGATAGGCTTTCTTGTTCTTATAGACATCAGTTTTTTCAGAGGTTCAGCCTCTGCTCCTGGAACTTCTTTATTCTACTCTTTATCCTTCCTGGTTTTTTTCCGTTTGGGTCTGTGCTTTCTTCCACAGTGTCTGCAGTCTTTCATGTGGCTGGAAGGTGCTTGCCCACCTGATATCAGTTGACAAGCTTCTGGTTGGAGTAATGGCTTTGCTTGACCAAGGCTGCATGCTTAATTCCCATTGCTCTTAACTTTGTTGGCTGGTTCTTGTTTTTCCTCCAAAGTGTGTGTTCTGTGCTGACTGAACCCAGTAGCCTGGCATATTCTACATTATGGGTCAGCAGCCAAGCAAAGAAACTGGATCTGGATTGTAGTGGAGTCCCCCAAAGCTGATGAAGCAGTTTGGGGCTCATGGGGGTTACATTCCAGTAGTCCCAGTCCCCTTGTCAGTCTCAAACCTCTGCTGTGGGAGAGGCTGCAGCTGCAAGAGGAGGTGTTGGGATAGCCAGCAACCAGGATGTTAATGTAGACCTCTTACTGCAGCCACTCCCTTTCTTGATGCCAAATTTACCATTACTGATTGCTGATTTGGGGGCACGTGGTAAGTGAGAAAATATGGTAATAAAGTTACTATCCCCCATCCCTGCAATGGTCAGAAAAATGGTTATTTTCTGTTCCTTGCTTTTTTCTGTAGCTCTACTTGCTTTCAAGAAGAATTCTATTTCTTGCCTGAATCTCTTCCAGCCTTTTGTTGCATTTCTGGAGAGGTTCAGATGCACTGGAACTCTAAGCTGGTCCATTCTTTTCCAAAACACTAACCGTTTCTTTCAAACCACTTTTGGCACCACATATTATAAA